GATATGTCTGACGAACAATTTTGTAATTTCAAAGATTGCAGGCAAGTAGGTTGGATGTTAGAGATGGCCTCCATCATGGACTCCACCATTGGGCCTCCTTCTACTTCTATACTTTCCACCAAAAGAGGAAACTCACGAAACGCTACTTTCTTGCATTTACGTATCTCTAGTGTCCGAAGGCTGAGAGGCCCTGGGACAGAAGAGACAAGAAGCTCGCAATTTCCAATCCTGAGTGTTTGCAGAGCAGGAAGGTGATTTGGCAGATCTCCCTTTAGTTTGGGGCACTTTTCTATATACAGATTCTTGAGCACAGGAAAAGCTTCTGAATCAAAAGAATTCCACACCTCCCAACTAGGCATATTAGAAATGTGTAGAGATTCAAGGGATGGAAAGGGCGTCACAGATGAACAATCATCCTTCTTATAAAAGTCTGAATCAATAGTTTTCACCGAACTCATAGTTGAAATAATAAGGTTATTGAGAGACGGTAGTTGCCCAAGTGAAGGAAGCATGCAACAGTTGTTACAATTTTGTAAATGCAGATTAGTTATATTTTGATAAGAAAAATTTCCCACCCATTCTGGAAATGTTGTTCCTCTATAACCGCTTATTTCAAGCGATTTCAGGTCTTGATGAGGTTGTAACTTGTCGAGTACATCTAATTCAATTTGGAAGTCGATGATATCATCCTTACGTACAGACCATTTTAACAATAAACCGGCAATGTGCTTCTTATCCATTATCCTGGCCTCTAGTGCTTCTTCACCTTTGGTAACATTCTCTAATTTCTCAATACAAAACCAACCATGGAGATTTGGAAGTCCTCCCAGTTCTTTGATGCTATTTTCTTTATGCTTGCCCACAACATAACAATCCAAGTTATGTAATTGATTTAGTTTCCCCATTCTTATAGGCATCTCTTTTATGGGAGTATTAAAAATTTCAAGATGACGCAAGTTTACAAGATTTTGAATGTCTTTAGGTAACTTAGTCAGATTAAAGCAAAAACCCAATTTCAAAGTTTGTAGATTGTACAGATTACATAATGACTCTGGCAGTATTGCTATAGATGTATGACTGAGATTTAAGTAACGCAAATGGATCAATTCACCAATTGAATCAGGCAGAACAAGCTCACTTTGGTAGTCACTAAATTTTAAAACTCTCAAGTACTTAAACATCGACACTATAATACGTAATGCCTTTTCGTTGTTGAATGGAGAATCTTTATTATTGTTCTGCAAGAAAGTTCTTGGAAATTTGGCTGTCTCAAAAACATCAATATCGGAGACTGGATCACTGAATCTTGCAAAAGACAAATGACGAGTCTTTCTATCAATTTTGGTTTCTTTTCCAAGTTCATTTGCTCTGAAATAGAATTCCCCGCCGAGGAATGTTGCTAGATCATGCATGAGGTCATGCATCACAAAATCAATGCCCCGAATTCCACTAGTTGAATATTGGAAAAACGATCTTGAAACCAAATCATCAAAATACTCCTCACCAACTTCTTCTAAAGTCTTTTCTTTTCTTGGTGCTTTTAAAAGATCTTCGGCCATCCACAGCAGGATCAGTTCATCCTTTCGAAATTTGTAATCCTTGGGGTACAATGAGCAATATACAAAACACCGTTTTAAATGTGAAGGGAGATGATTATAACTTATTCTGAGTGCTGGAATAATTATACACTGACTTTGAGGCAGTTCCCAAATGTCACTTTCAAGTACATTATTCCAATCCCTAATAGCTTGTTTTCTTCTTAACATTCCTCCAAGTGACTGTGCAGCTAAAGGCAACCCATCACACTTTTTAACAATCTCCTTTCCAATCTTTTCTAGAGTTCCTCTATTTTCACTACCTTCTGAAAGAGGAAATGCATGATTTGCAAACACCAACCAACAATCTTCATTTGACAATTGGTTTAGATGATATACTTTAACAACATGAAAAGGGATTACAGCCGCTACACTTTCGTTGCGGGTTGTCACGAGAACTTTACTTCCCCTAATCCCACTTAGAAATGGTTTTGTAAGACTATTCCAACCATCACAGTTCTCAATCCAAACATCATCCAAAACAATCAAGAATCTTTTACCTTTCAGCTTGTCCATCAATTCAAGTTGAAGTAAATTTAGATCATTGAAATTACAAGGCATCTTGGTAATTTCCTCCATCATAGTTTTTGTGACCTTCAGAGTATCAAATATATCAGAAACACAAACCCATGTCTTTAAATCAAATATCTGCTTCAATTTTCCATCGTTGTACACAGATCGGGCCAAAGTGGTTTTTCCAACCCCACCCATGCCTACAATAGGGATCACGGACACTTCTTCACCATCAGTGTTATCCTCTAATACCAGCTTCATTATGGCCTCCTTGTCTTTATCCCTACCGTACATACCATATCTGTCTTGCAAAGATGTTGGCTGATCTTTCCATGGCTGGTTGCTTTCCACCGGAATCTCCTTCAAATTAAGACTCTCCTTTTGTTTTAAAATGTCATCTAATCTTTCAGCTATGTCCTCCAACTTATTAATACTAACAATCCTTTTCCTATTGAAAATATGAGAAAAGGAATTGCTTACCTCCTTTCGAGTAGCAGCTTTAGTAGAAATTTCATCAAGTAAGTCATCAACCTCATAGACAATATCTCTGAGAACATCGAGCCACTTTTTGACATTGGAGTCTGTGACTTGTCGATTCTCAGCATCAGCAAGCACAACTCTAAGGACTATCAGCTGGTTCTCCACCTTTCGAAGCAACTTGTCAGGTTTCTTTCCACGGATCAGGCTGACAAGCTCAGGGGAAGCTAGCCTGTCAAAAAGAACGTCAAGGAAAGCAGAGAGAAGAGCACCACCTACCACGGCTAATGCCATGATCTCAGGAACAAACAACTGATGATCAGAGTAGAAACGCAAAGGAAATGAACAAGGTGCAAAAGTTGGGTTGGTTCTTGACAAGGTGGACTTTTAGGAGGAGATTTGGCATGCTTCAACACTCTTCAGTTTAACTCTTAGCTCGACTTAGTGGGGGTGAATATTTTATCTTTTCTAAAAGACAAGGCTCTTCATTGGATGCTTTTCTAAAGACTCTTCTTTTTGTTCCCCACTAGTGGGTTAAAGCTAAGATGATGTACCTAACCATGATGACATGAAGACATGAATAGTTGATAAGACAAAATACGATCCTCTGTTACAATGAGACTGTTTAGACAATAAGGATGAGAGTGGAAGAATGAGGTCCGCTTCGTGCTTATAATTTGATATTTTGATGTAGAATGAATAACAAGACATTACTTCAATTATTGTTTTCTGCTATATTATCTCTGCACCTTACGTTTCACGGTCTGCCAAAGTATACAATCTGCTGTCGATATTCACAAGCTCAATCGTCTTGACCAAAGTTGAATTCACATCTCAATCCATTAATGAACATTATGGTATAGAGGTAGGTACATAAGAGTTCCGTTGGTTCGTTGAGAACCGAAAGAGATTCTCCAGTGTGAGATTCATGTACTTTTGTTTTTAGTGTTTGAAAAAAATTATGAAACATATTGAATTGTTTGTAATTGGTAGATTGTCATGTATCTGCACACTTGTGTTCTAGAGGACCGTGATCATAAAACACGTTACAAAAGAACATGTCCTTTTTCTAGTGAAATCCTAATAATGTGTCGTATATATTAAGCTTTAATCCAAGCTATGAATTTTGTGCACTAAGAATCGTTATGCTTTATGGAATTCATAGGGTAAAGTCACTGTTCAACCATAAACTTAAAGGTATCTATCAATGCTACAAACAGAGAGGTTTTCGGTCTCGTGGAGATGTTAATAATGACAGATGGTTATTAAAGAGCAATCACGGTAGCAATTTGTGAGAATCACAATTCGAATAGTACAATCCTAACTAAATAAATTATCTGAATTTTGGTTAAGGAAAATATCTTTTGATATTAATGTCATATTATAAGACTAACAACCATTATTTTAGATGCATAGAAATATAAGGATTTTTAAAACTCGTTTAATAACCAAATATCATGCTAATACCTTGGAGCTTTTATAAACTTGGAATCTAACTTTGAATTTCTTGATTGAGCTGATAAGTAGACATAAGTTCAAATGTATATTATTTTTTAATTCAATCATTTAAAATATATTTTAATTAAATAGCTACAAAAGGAAAAAGTAAAGTGTCAAGATAATTTTTTCCTTAATAGATATAGGATAGGTATAAAATACTATCGCTTAGAACACATTTAAAGTAACAAAATAAATAATGTCATTTAAAATTATTGTTTTCTTCATCATGTTACAAAATTGTCTCTTATTCTTTTAATTGTATACCACAAAAATATTATAAAAAAACATGTTTTCATATAACCAATAAAAGTCAAACAAATCGAAACAATCCGAATTATCATCATACATCTAAAATTATTATTAACAGTCTTATTATTATTACTTATTACTATATTATGACATTTTTAAAAACTAGGAAAATAGTTAGCAGTTTTAATAATTACACTCGATTATTTTATTATAAAATTTAAACTATAATTAAATTTGATATTAATTGAGTTCTGTAAGACCCAAGAAAATATTAGAAATAATATTGTAATGAGACTTGAGTATGTTTTTATGGAACCTTCATGTTTTTCATAAGGTGTTGTGTAACTTAGTTGGTGAAAGCTCTTTGTTGGGTTTAGTGGTCACATGTGTAAGCCTTGGCTAGAGCATCAATTCTATGTTATTCATTTGATTTTTTATTTTTATAAGTGCAACACATGTTATTATATGTTTGTTGAATTTGTGTTGTGTGTTATTATTAATGTAATGTGTTGGTTTATTGGTAGAGATGTTTGTCTAAGATTAAATGGATGTGAGTTCAGATCCTAAGGAGTGATGTTTTAAGGGAAAACCTTTGATATTTATTTATATTTTTTCTTAAGGGCAAGAGTGTCTTTTCTTATTTGTTAATTTAGGTGCAAAAATTAGAAATGGGAGTGTAAGAAGTAAAGACATGCATCTTAAATAACATAAACTAGAAAACATGAGAGTGGGAGGATAGGTCTACTTGTTGTACCTAGTAAATCCTGGTTTTTATCTTCGGATATGTTTTAGTTGTTCGGGTGATGGTGGTTTCCTTGTCCTTGTGAGGCAGGAAGGCATGTTCCTTAGCTAGATTGCAAAACTACTCAAACATATATGTAGGGGAGGCTATAGATTGGACTGTACCAACGACTACAGTCAGTGAGGTACGGTACAGGAGTGTTGATAGGGGGAGCAATATGAGTGTTGAACCCACTCTCTAATGCTTTGGTTTTAGATGATGACAACACATTGAATGTAAAAACACATATATGTTCTTCTGACACAACAAAAATGTGTATTTGTGTTTGGTACATATGTTGGTTTACAAATGTCTCTGAATGGTTAAATACATATGATATCATGTTGATTGGTCTGCATACTTCTATGATCATAATTGTGTTTATATATTCTGTATGCATGCTAAATATTTTGATAAGATAAAACATCAAGCACAAAGCAATTTTGTATGATACAATCGATTACAGTGATGTTGTAATCAATTAAGTTCATCAGATAGCTTATGTTTTAAACTATGGCAAAACAACAAGTTTTGAATTAATTACATTAAGTATAAAATTGATTAAAACTCGTTTATTTGCAAACATCATTTTGATATGTGCTGTGATAAGTTTTGAAGAGAAAAAGTTTTCCAAATTTGCTTTAGTGTTTACCTTAATCGATTACACTCTATATGTAATCAATTAAGTCTGTTATGTTTTGAAAACTGTTTTAAAGTTAAGCCATAACTGTTTTAACGGTCATATTTTAAAATATGTTGACTAGCATTTATTACAAATTGATTACATTAATTATGCATTCAATTAAATCTGTTTGAATTGTAAGTCTATTACATCTTTCACTTATGTAACCGATTACATTACTAACGTAATCGATTAATCTGCGTCTGTCATGAGATAACTATATATTGACGCAGTTCACACTGAACTGTAACGAATTAAACATTCTAAATTTTCATATCTGATATCTTTGATTCGAGATAAGTGTTACAAGTGATTGAGAAGCTCCAAGAACCAAGATTCAAAGATTTGGAAGAAACTTGAAGGATTCTTGAGAGAAAGACTATGGACGTAATTGACTGATCATACTCTACACTACTGAGGTGTTTCTACATTGATCAGAAACGTGTTTTCGCAATCTCGGATTATGGTTCCTAGTTCGTGCGTGACAAGAAGAAGAACAAGGGGTTCTTGAATTTGAGAGGTGGTCTCAAAGGGTTCTCCAGCAAGGACGTGTGGTTCTTTGTGCAGGTGTTTTATTTCTATATTTGATTGTGGAGTGGGATATGTGTTTACATTGTGAGAGTGTTCTTTGTAAAACCTTTAGTGTAAATCTCAAATTGTTAGATTTAAAAAGCATTCATTTTTAGTAATCACCAATTCACCCCCCCCTTCCCTTGGTGTTGAGAAACAAGCATTTCTTTTCTAAATATTGGCATCAGAGCTGGTTTTCAAAAGTTATTTGAAAAACTAATCGATTACTCTTTTTGTAAAATCGATTAAGCGATCTGGATGGCCTCTTTTTCTCAAACCTTTGGTGAAGGTGCATCTACAAACAAACATCCTCTGTTTGCTGGAGAAAATTACACTTTTTGGAAAATTAGAATGAGAATCTTTCTTGAATCTGTAGACAAGGGTGTATGGGATGTTGTTTTAAATGGTCCTTTTGAACCCACAAAACCTGTTGATGGAAAACCTGTTTTGAAAAACCTTTTTGAGTGGAATAAAGAGGAAAATAGAAGAGCTCAATATGATATAAAAGCTAGAAATGTTATCTCTTATGCACTTACCATTGATGAGTTTTTCATGGTGTTAACATGCAAAAGTGCCAAGGAAACGTGGGAAGTCCTAGAGGTGACTCATGAAGGTACTAATGAAGTGAAAAGAGCTAGAAAGAACTCTTTAATCCAGGAATATGAAATGTTCAAGATGAAGACTAAAGAGACTATCTATGATGTATAGAAAAGATTCACCCACATTGTCAACCATCTGATTGTACTTCGCAAAGTCTTTGAGATAGNATGTAACCGATTACATTACTAACGTAATCGATTAATCTGCGTCTGTCATGAGATAACTATATATTGACGCAGTTCACACTGAACTGTAACGAATTAAACATTCTAAATTTTCATATCTGATATCTTTGATTCGAGATAAGTGTTACAAGTGATTGAGAAGCTCCAAGAACCAAGATTCAAAGATTTGGAAGAAACTTGAAGGATTCTTGAGAGAAAGACTATGGACGTAATTGACTGATCATACTCTACACTACTGAGGTGTTTCTACATTGATCAGAAACGTGTTTTCGCAATCTCGGATTATGGTTCCTAGTTCGTGCGTGACAAGAAGAAGAACAAGGGGTTCTTGAATTTGAGAGGTGGTCTCAAAGGGTTCTCCAGCAAGGACGTGTGGTTCTTTGTGCAGGTGTTTTATTTCTATATTTGATTGTGGAGTGGGATATGTGTTTACATTGTGAGAGTGTTCTTTGTAAAACCTTTAGTGTAAATCTCAAATTGTTAGATTTAAAAAGCATTCATTTTTAGTAATCACCAATTCACCCCCCCCTTCCCTTGGTGTTGAGAAACAAGCATTTCTTTTCTAAATATTGGCATCAGAGCTGGTTTTCAAAAGTTATTTGAAAAACTAATCGATTACTCTTTTTGTAAAATCGATTAAGCGATCTGGATGGCCTCTTTTTCTCAAACCTTTGGTGAAGGTGCATCTACAAACAAACATCCTCTGTTTGCTGGAGAAAATTACACTTTTTGGAAAATTAGAATGAGAATCTTTCTTGAATCTGTAGACAAGGGTGTATGGGATGTTGTTTTAAATGGTCCTTTTGAACCCACAAAACTAGTTGATGGAAAACCTGTTTTGAAAAACGTTTTTCAGTGGAATAAAGAGGAAAATAGAAGAGCTCAATATGATATAAAAGCTAGAAATGTTATCTCTTCTGCACTTACCATTGATGAGTTTTTCAGGGTGTCAACATGAAAAAGTGCCAAGGAAATGTGGGAAGTCCTAGAGGTGACTCATGAAGGGACTAATGAAGTGAAAAGAGCTAGAAAGAACTCTCTAATCCAGGAATATGAAATGTTCAAGATGAAGACTAAAGAGACTATCTATGATGTAAAGAAAAGATTCACCCACATTGTCAACCATCTGATTGTACTTCGCAAAGTCTTTGAGATAGAAGAACTCAATATAAAGATCTTAAAGAGTCTCAACAAAAGTTGGCAACCAAAGGTAACAGCTATATCTGAATCTAGAGATCTAAGCACTATGAATATGGCCACACTGTTTGGTAAGCTCAAGGAACACGAATTGGAGCTGGGAAGATTGAAAGAAGAATAGGAGAGTGAATAGAAATAATCAATTTCTCTCAAAGTAACCAAAGCAACCAGCAAGAAATCCTCTAGGAGAAACGAGTCTGATGCAGATTCTGATACGGACATTCCAAAAAAAGAAGGACACATAAAGCCCGACTGAGTATCTGACTAAATTCATGAAATCTACTAAATTCATGAAAAATAGAAATATTGTATCTGACTTTGCAAGGAATTCTAAAGGAGGAAAAAGGAAATCAAAAGCAACAACTGTTACATTCTATGAGTATGGAAAAGAAGGACACATAAAGCCCGACTGACCAGATTGAAAGGTAAAGCAGAAAGCTGATGAAAGATACAATCAGGACAGAAGAAGGAACACGAAAAGGAAAGAACACATTGCATGGGAAAACAGTGATATGAATCATCCAGTGATGATGACCAAAGTCTAGAAGAAGAGACAAATTTATGTCTCATGGCTGGATTAGTGTGTTCAGGAAGCAGCAACAACAACTTTGAGAATGAGCAGATAGAAGTTAGATATGACCAGCTATTGGATGCGTTTAAAGAAGAACATGCTGAGACAATGAAACTACAATACAAGGTTAATCGATTAAATTTTGAATACAGAATAAATAACCTTGTTGATGAAAATGATAAGTTGAAAATTGAACTTGATCTAGCTTTACAATTTGCTAAAAATGTTAAAACAGAAATTAAGATTGTTGAAAAAGATTGTAAAGAATGTCATGTTCATGCTGAAAAGATTGAATATCTAACTACTACTTTCGACCTCGATCTCTTTTCATTTTTGGTATTACTAGCCTAGCCTTCGTAAATCACACTAAAGCAGAGCACCCAACTATGACAAGGCTCCATTAAGTAAGGGTTAGATTAGTCAATCCGGCCCGACATGCGTTTGTTGACAAAACCGCCGTAGGAATGTAGACCTTTCATTAGAGCGGAGGCGAATTGATCAACGAGAAAGAGGCCCTACTCACTACAAACGAATACACCATAAGATCAAACTGCACTCATTCCTCTCTTGCATCAAGTTGACAGACCCCCTACGTAATTCTTCTATCAATCATGTATGTAGGTAGGGTCCTCCATTCTGATTGGTATATCATGAAAAAAGCCATTTGCACTAGGCGCACTGCACTTTCCCTTGCCTAGATGTTCGCCTTTCTAAGTCAAGTAATAGTGACCCATCGAAGACTAGAGCCTCAAAACATGTTGACGAAGACCCTCGAACTGAGGGTTCGATCAATAGAGGGGACGACTTTCCCTCCCCGGAAGAAGAATAGCCCCGCTCTCTAGCCAACTGATCTCATGGATCATATAATTGGGAGGGAACGTGTCACATTAGAGGTGAACGATAATTACCACGATAAGGTTGGTCCCTCTTTGATTTTAGTAGACTAAGCTATTCATATGAATGTCGGGCTCTTTCTTTCACTGCTAACCCCAATAAGTCAGTTTATTAATGCTGATATTTTATGTGTCGTCGAGCTCGGAGCTTGTGATCCTCCTTTGAGTGTGGGTTCCATTGGATGAATCTCTCAAGTCAAGGTTCAGGTACATAGCAAGAAGAATGGTGCAACGCCTCTTTCTCGTTCTCGCTCGGGAGCCAAAACGAACACGCCTGCTACCTATTGTACTGGACCTTTGACCAGGCATTCTACCCTTATCAAATCGAAACCAACCACCACTGTATTGCGCTCGAACAATTGAGCGGCCGCCGGCCAACAACTTCCGTACTGTACACATATATAGATTCATTCTTCGTACCTGGTCCAACTTCACAACCCTTCGCGAGTTGGTCAGAAGTCAATCTTGTTTGGTAAGACTCTATTGAACAAAGCAAAGAAAAGAGAGTGCTCGACCGAAACAACGACCAACAAAGACCGTAATTATATAGATAACTGCTCCTCCCTTTCTCCGGCTTTAAGGCGAACCGTATGGCAATCGGAAAGAAAAGAAAGACGACCTCCTTACCTTCTCCTAGATGGTGTCAGTGAGAGCAACTTGAGTATCTCTGTTGACCTTCTTTTGTAGATAGAATCTACTTACTAATAAAATGTTACTTACCGTGATTATATGAAATCTACTAATTTTGAGTAATTACAACAAAAGTTTTATTAAATAATTTTAATTATTAATATAAAAATGTTAATAAACTATTTTTTATAAAAAAGGTAATTATAAATAATGTTTATAATTTAACAGGTAATTACTTTACTGAGCAAATTGATTATTTTATTATAATTAATTATTTTAATGTAAAAAGAAGTTTCTAAAAGAGTAACACTAAAAAATAGTTTGTATTTGAATTAAAAAATAATTACTGAAAAAGATAAAATTGGTAAATAATTTTTATTAAAAATAATTGTTTGAAGTAATAAAAATAATTATTGAAAGAGTAAAACTGTGTACATAAAAAATGTGAATTCCCTCTATTAATAGTGTAGATAGTCATACAATAAAAATACTTTCAATTTATGAGTAGTTTTTTAGATAATTAAAAAAGAAAAATATTATTAATGGAATATATATAAGAGGTAAAAAAGAAAAAAAAATGTAAAAAAGGAGTTATAGACGATAATAAATAATGGATTAAATATACTTTTCATTTCCTAAAAATTTTCAAAAATTGTATTTTTGCTTCTAAATTATATTATATATGTATTTAATCTCTATAATTTTGCTAGAAAGGGTTTTATAATCTAAGAAGGAAATAGATATATAATTTAGTTTAAAAATGAAATATGATTTTAAAAATTGGAAATAAAAATATATTTAACTTAAAAATATATGATAATTTTTTTCTTATTTATTTATTTATAACTAAATCACTTTCCTTTTTTCTCACTTTTTTTAAATTTTAATCGCAACCTTTATTTTATTTTATATTTCTTGTATTTTTTTTATTAAGAGCGTTTTTCGTCATCAAACTATTTTTTTAAAAATTTCATTCTTAAACTAAATATATAATTATTGAAGTTCACATTTTATGAAAATTAAGTAAAATCTCCTACTAAAAAAAGGTATTTTACATGACTTTGGTAAAGTATAGTGACAAAATAAATATACAGTTTGGTTTAGAACGAAATAAGATTATTTAAAAATAGTTTAGAAATGAAAAACCTATTAAAAATCTTATGAGCTATTATTTTTGTTTCTTTCATTTATAAAAAAATTCTAAAACCTTATTTTGTCTTTTTCTTCATTTTATTAGTACAAAGTACCACAAATCAATAAAAAAAAGGCTATAGTGAGACAATTAAAAATGAAAGAACCACATTAAGAAATTAATCATACTGAGTGCTAAATCAACATCATACATGAAAATATATTAGTAGGAAAACTCAGAGAAATGATGAAGAGTATTGTGGTATGCGAGAATGTGAGAATAAGATTAAGCATATTACAAGTTGGATTTAGTGCGAAATAGCGTTGTGTCAAACACTTTCAGAAAAAAGCGTGTTCTTGGTATAGATAGGTTGGACTGCAATATGGTTCCAATGTCGTAAATCAGTTTCTTCTTCACTTCTGAATTTATGCCTCCCATTGAAACTATCTCAGCATATGCAGCTGCTTCTTTGTTTCCCTCAAAACATATTGGCACTGACCCCTTCAATATCACCATCACAAACTGCACATACATACCCTTTCAATCAATATACAATTAAAAAATTTTAAAAACGAAAGATGAATTAACTTTAACTCTTAAACTATATAAGACAAAAACAAATTCAATCAAACTTTTGTATGTGACTCTAATTTAAATATCATATTGAAAATAAATATGAGTCTTTTTTATTTTTGGCATTTTAGATCTTTCTATAATTATTGGCATCTTCCATTGTTTGAAGTGGATTTTGTTATTGTTTTTCCTTAATTATTCCAAACATCTTTTATGAGAAAGAATGAGCAGATCCTACTTTTAAGATATCAAACTAATAATAGAAGGGGTACTATGGTGGTCCCAAAGAGATAATGGGTGAGGTGTTGAATAACCATTTATAATAAAAGATGTGTGGTTACACTGTTGCGAGTGCAATCACTACACAGCACAACACAACAAATTACAATTCCCCTACAACCCATATTTCTTTCTCTTTCACACTTCAAATTGGAAACATATCCATCTTATTCAAAGTGCAGTTTCTCATAACACATTTATACACACCTCATACCACGATTTTATGTTAATGCAAATAACCTTGTAATAATTCCAGATGCATTTTTCACCACATGAATTTCAACAAATTTTTTGTAGGATAAAAAGGAGAAAAGAGTGCAAGTATAATATTAGCTAAGGGAATCTCAACTACATTATTTACTAAATTTTTATGTAAATAGATTTATAATATCAATTAATAGTAAATTATTCCCTTTATCCTTATTTATAAGACTCTTCCAACCAATTCGCACCCTTTTAAACGAATAAGTTTAATTTGTTTAGTAGAAAAAATCAATTAATTAAGAATATAAAAAAGAATTGCATCATTCAATTATAAAAAGTTATAAAAAATTTAAAAATAAAAATATCATAACTACATAATATTATTGACGAGTCAAGATTCTTTACTGATTTTCTATATTATCCCTATTAAAATTAACATATACCAATTTAATTCTATGACAGACTAGAAAAATAACATTAAAAACTCAATAAAAAAAATTCAAATTCATTATTGACAGATCTTTACTTCATATTATCCATCATTTAATATGCTATCTTCTCTTATTTAATTCCTTAAAGCTCATTCCTTGGGCTTTCATTATCTTAAGGATGACAATGTTTGCATTATGTAGTGTTGAATATCCTATTGCATTATTTTATATCCTAGTGATCTGATTCTGCANACACATAAAGCCCGACTGACCAGATTGAAAGGTAAAGCAGAAAGCTGATGAAAGATACAATCAGGACAGAAGAAGGAACACGAAAAGGAAAGAACACATTGCATGGGAAAACAGTGATATGAATCATCCAGTGATGATGACCAAAGTCTAGAAGAAGAGACAAATTTATGTCTCATGGCTGGATTAGTGTGTTCAGGAAGCAGCAACAACAACTTTGAGAATGAGCAGATAGAAGTTAGATATGACCAGCTCTTGGATGCGTTTGAAGAAGTACATGCTGAGACAATGAAACTACAATACAAGGTTAATCGATTAAATTTTGAATACAGAATAAATAACCTTGTTGATGAAAATGATAAGTTGAAAATTGAACTTGATCTAGCTTTACAATTTGCTAAAAATGTTAAAACAGAAATTAAGATTGTTGAAAAAGATTGTAAAGAATGTCATGTTCATGCTGAAAAGATTGAATATCTAACTACTACTTTCGACCTCGATCTCTTTTCATTTTTGGTATTACTAGCCTAGCCTTCGTAAATCACACTAAAGCAGAGCACCCAACTATGACAAGGCTCCATTAAGTAAGGGTTAGATTAGTCAATCCGGCCCGACATGCGTTTGTTGACAAAACCGCCGTAGGAATGTAGACCTTTCATTAGAGCGGAGGCGAATTGATCAACGAGAAAGAGGCCCTACTCACTACAAACGAATACACCATAAGATCAAACTGCACTCATTCCTCTCTTGCATCAAGTTGACAGACCCCCTACGTAATTCTTCTATCAATCATGTATGTAGGTAGGGTCCTCCATTCTGATTGGTATATCATGAAAAAAGCCATTTGCACTAGGCGCACTGCACTTTCCCTTGCCTAGATGTTCGCCTTTCTAAGTCAAGTAATAGTGACCCATCGAAGACTAGAGCCTCAAAACATGTTGACGAAGACCCTCGAACTGAGGGTTCGATCAATAGAGGGGACGACTTTCCCTCCCCGGAAGAAGAATAGCCCCGCTCTCTAGCCAACTGATCTCATGGATCATATAATTGGGAGGGAACGTGTCACATTAGAGGTGAACGATAATTACCACGATAAGGTTGGTCCCTCTTTGATTTTAGTAGACTAAGCTATTCATATGAATGTCGGGCTCTTTCTTTCACTGCTAACCCCAATAAGTCAGTTTATTAATGCTGATATTTTATGTGTCGTCGAGCTCGGAGCTTGTGATCCTCCTTTGAGTGTGGGTTCCATTGGATGAATCTCTCAAGTCAAGGTTCAGGTACATAGCAAGAAGAATGGTGCAACGCCTCTTTCTCGTTCTCGCTCGGGAGCCAAAACGAACACGCCTGCTACCTATTGTACTGGACCTTTGACCAGGCATTCTACCCTTATCAAATCGAAACCAACCACCACTGTATTGCGCTCGAACAATTGAGCGGCCGCCGGCCAACAACTTCCGTACTGTACACATATATAGATTCATTCTTCGTACCTGGTCCAACTTCACAACCCTTCGCGAGTTGGTCAGAAGTCAATCTTGTTTGGTAAGACTCTATTGAACAAAGCAAAGAAAAGAGAGTGCTCGACCGAAACAACGACCAACAAAGACCGTAATTATATAGATAACTGCTCCTCCCTTTCTCCGGCTTTAAGGCGAACCGTATGGCAATCGGAAAGAAAAGAAAGACGACCTCCTTACCTTCTCCTAGATGGTGTCAGTGAGAGCAACTTGAGTATCTCTGTTGACCTTCTTTTGTAGATAGAATCTACTTACTAATAAAATGTTACTTACCGTGATTATATGAAATCTACTAATTTTGAGTAATTACAACAAAAGTTTTATTAAATAATTTTAATTATTAATATAAAAATGTTAATAAACTATTTTTTATAAAAAAGGTAATTATAAATAATGTTTATAATTTAACAGGTAATTACTTTACTGAGCAAATTGATTATTTTATTATAATTAATTATTTTAATGTAAAAAGAAGTTTCTAAAAGAGTAACACTAAAAAATAGTTTGTATTTGAATTAAAAAATAATTACTGAAAAAGATAAAATTGGTAAATAATTTTTATTAAAAATAATTGTTTGAAGTAATAAAAATAATTATTGAAAGAGTAAAACTGTGTACATAAAAAATGTGAATTCCCTCTATTAATAGTGTAGATAGTCATACAATAAAAATACTTTCAATTTATGAGTAGTTTTTTAGATAATTAAAAAAGAAAAATATTATTAATGGAATATATATAAGAGGTAAAAAAGAAAAAAAAAATGTAAAAAAGGAGTTATAGACGATAATAAATAATGGATTAAATATACTTTTCATTTCCTAAAAATTTTCAAAAATTGTATTTTTGCTTCTAAATTATATTATATATGTATTTAATCTCTATAATTTTGCTAGAAAGGGTTTTATAATCTAAGAAGGAAATAGATATATAATTTAGTTTAAAAATGAAATATGATTTTAAAAATTGGAAATAAAAATATATTTAACTTAAAAATATATGATAATTTTTTTCTTATTTATTTATTTATAACTAAATCACTTTCCTTTTTTCTCACTTTTTTTAAATTTTAATCGCAACCTTTATTTTATTTTATATTTCTTGTATTTTTTTTATTAAGAGCGTTTTTCGTCATCAAACTATTTTTTTAAAAATTTCATTCTTAAACTAAATATATAATTATTGAAGTTCACATTTTATGAAAATTAAGTAAAATCTCCTACTAAAAAAAGGTATTTTACATGACTTTGGTAAAGTATAGTGACAAAATAAATATACAGTTTGGTTTAGAACGAAATAAGATTATTTAAAAATAGTTTAGAAATGA